TATTACATACACTCCATAATGCTCACACAACCCTATTTTCAGTAAAAATGGGAAAAATAATACTTCTCTCTAAAGACATTGGAAGTTAACATATGCAAATCCACATAAAAAAGTTTTTCTCCAGTGTACAGTGCAAGTTCTCCAGTGTTTTACCACCTGAAGAAGTTTTCATTAAAGATATACCTCATTGTCATGTTCTAGCCCAAGTTTTCAATAAAAATAAAACATTTTATGCCCTTAATGTTGAGGCAGTTTTTTCTCTGTGGTATCGAAAAATGGAATCTAATATCAACATTTTTCAAGATATCATCAAATTTAGAAATTCCAGTGTTCTGGACCACCACAACCAGCTATAGCTAATTCAGTAATTGTGAACTTGCTAATTGGTAACACATTGCTTTGATTAGCATAGCAATTGCTGAATGCGTAAAGCAATATAGAACATCTAACATATATCTGTTCTCTCCATGATGGTAACCCCACAAACAAACCAGAAACTCTTAGCAAAACATTAAACAGTACAAAATCTCCCATTTAACATTAATCAAGTGCAGAAAAAGATTATATAACACTTCAATTGAGCATTTACACTCCCTTTCAGTTTCATAAACAAGTTCATTAAACTCAAAATAATGAAACAATTCAGATTACTTAAAATGCAGTCAATGATGTAAACTCAAAAGAAAAAGAAAGTTCTAAAAACTCATAAAAGCTAACGTGATTGAAGCAATTTAGTTTAAGTTTGCCCTAGTCAAACCAATTAATTATTTTGAGTGTTAGGGTTTACGGTGAACCTACGGTGAAATTTTTTATTTTTTTTGAAGAATGTTGGTAACCAAAAAATTGCTGGTAGCCATTAATTTCCACCATATTTTTCCCATTCTATGGAAATCAATGGGAATCAACAATTGCTTGGTTAAATATATATATATATAAAGAAAGAAAGAAAGAAAGGGGTGAGTAAATGATGACAGAATTTTCATTTTTGAGAGAAATATACCTTTAAACTTTGTTAAATTTCCACATGCATCCCTCACCTTCCCACATGCTCTGCAGTGATGACGTCTTTTGGTGAAGGAGAATTTGGATCCACATTTCATGCATGCTGGTGCCTGAGAATCGGGGACCCACTGTGGGGCCGTGGTGCCCAGAGAACTGCAGCGCTGCATGGGCAAAGCACCAAGTGAACCCTTCCTCCCACCACACACTAGTGACGCTTCCATTCCACCACCCTTCTTGCAGTCTAGCGTGGGGTCTGAGGGCTCCGTGCTGCCTGTTTGGTGGGTGTCCTCCACAGGAGAGGATGGAAGTCCCAGCACAGCCTCCAGCTGCTCCTGCTCATTCTCGGCCCGCTCTTTCTCTTCAATGACAGAGTCCTCTTTCAGTCCAGGCCTCAGCTTGCGCTCGTCCAGCAGCGACTCGCTGGAGTCCTTGAGGGTGGAGTATCCGAAACGCCTCTCACCCCACACAGACAGAGTGGCGGTTACTGCTTGCCTCATAGTCTCAGTGGAGGGAGCTTAAAGCGAGAGGGTTACTGATCATACTTTAGCCCACCCTGAGCTTTGTTTTACCCTCAAACCATCACGACGTGGCCCGCACAATGTCCTGCCAAAAGATGAGTCAGATATATTAATTTCCAGCAGCCCAGTGTATTTGTCAGGGATGCTTGACTTTTTTTATTTAAAAAATGTAAACATTAGAATCCATTTCAATATTTTTAAGATGAAGATGCTGGACTGAATCAACTTCAGTTTACTTGTTATAGAAAAATCATGTTAAAATGTGAGTCCAAATATGATCCATCAGGTTTTTGAGAAATGGTTATTTGTTAATCTCTCAATTATCATTGTACTGCATTGCATTATATGTTTTGAAACTACAGCAGTGATCATAAAACCAAGCATTTCAATATGATCTTACTAAGACATATTATTGGGAGATAAAGAGTGACAAATAGTCTGCTATACTGTTATTTAAAAAATCTTATTGATTTACATCACAAGCGACCAGAATTTCATCTTCCTTTTCGGCCATATAAATATCAGCAAATATTTTTGCTCATTTTCAGCCGCTGAATAAAACTAAGGTGCTTTTTCCTACTTTAGTATGAGCCTTACAAGTCTGATATATCAAATATGATGCAAACTACAAAACTTGCTTTAGATTTTGTCTAAAAATTAGATTTTTGTCAGGCTTTACAGTGTTCAAATGTAAGAAACTTGTGATGAATATCCAAGTGTATATTTAAGTTAAATGTTGCATTGTTGCATCCCAAATAAAATGAGTAAATAAATGTATTACATATTATAATAAATGGTAAACATGAAATGCTAATTCTTAAATATTAAACTATTATATTAATATTGAATTCATATATTAATTCAACATTAAACTGAATTAAATAAGTATTAAGCAATGTTCAAAGGTTAAATACATGACTTTGTACCTAAATAATGACTATTTTTCCAGTATAAACATAACATACTATGATAAGTAGTATACTAGGCCTATACAAGTTATTATAGACCAGGCTTTGAACACATTTATGCAATATGTATGATGCTCCATCTATTTATCTACTAGGTTACTTGGCCTCAAAGGGGTTGGTATTTATCAACATGGCACTAACATGGTATATTATGTACAAAAACTTAAGGCATTTCAGCATGTTATATGCCACACTCTCAGACACACAGACACAGATCCTGCATCACTATTTCACAGTGAGGATTTGCTGAGTGGGCAGAAAGACTCGTCTGCATGGGTGCATATGCAGATACACATATTCAGAATCATGCATGAACACAACTAAACACTAACGCATTTCAGTGTATATTATTTACACAAATTCAGATACATAACTACAATAACAGCTGTCAAAAAAAAGTGCTGAGCAGCACTGCTTTCTGATATGGTGTCCGAGTTTGTCGCCTCACCCCATCTACGCTGCCAGCAACGCGACGCGACGAACTAAAACGCGTCGCGCACTTGCAATTATGTGAGCGTTCTAGCCTGCGCAGTGTAACAACATCACAGCATTATAGTTTATAGTCTATTCTCCGGAATTGTGGCTCAAATGTTAGTGTAGCATCTGTTACCGCAAAGAGGACTGAATACGCGTTTGGTTATTATTCTCTCAGCACTGCATTGCAGAAGAGCCGCCGCAACCTTCACACAAGACAACATCTTCAATGCGTTTGACATGGACACACGTGCCAGTGGTGATTCAGCATCACTTCTGGTTAGCAGCAATATATATATGGCTGATGTGCATCATTCTCGCCTGTGGCTGCTGGTGACTACAGCAATGCGACACAGTACTGTCAACAAGAGCCAATTAACCCTCACTTACAATAATTATCTCAGAATAAAACCCCGAAAACTCCCACAAGAACCAGAGATTATTTTAGCGCTAGATAGTGATACAACGAAGGAACAAATATGATAAATGTAAATAATTACCAGGATCTCTGTATCCCATCGCCACCTCTGTGTGCTCGTCATCAGAGGTCTGCGCGAGATCAACGCGCGTTCAATCACGGGGCGTCGCGATCACTTGAGAAGTCAAGAGGACACAATGTTACGACGAGTTTTTATCAGCGCCGTGAGCACGTTTAATATTCTCTAAGGTCTCCTCTTTATTTCACATTATTAATATAACCAATCGTTGTCTTGGTATTTCTATTACTTGGGTACACAAGCTCTCATTATTATAGATAAACAAACAAGTCTTTAATCAACCACAGCGTGGTCATATGTGACACTGGACCACAAACCAGTCATAAAGGTCAATTTAAAATAAAATGAGATTTATACTTAATCTGAAAGCTTTCCATTGATGTATGGTTTGTTAGGATAGGACAATATTTGGCCGACAACTATCTGAAAATCTGGAATCTGAGGGTGCAAAACAATCAAAATATTGAGAAAATCGCCTTTAAAGTGGTCCAAATGAAGTCCTTAGCAATGCATATTACTAATCGAAAATAAAGTTTTGATATAGCCTATTTACGGTAGGAAATTTATAAAATATCTTCATGGAACATGATCTTTACTTAATATCCTAATGATGTTTGTCATAAAAGAAAAATCAATACTTTTGTTACTTTTATTCATCAAGGATGCATCATAACCCGTGCTACTTAAGACTGGTTTTGTGGTCCAGGGTCACATATGGAAGGCAAAAAGGTCCACAATACAGGAACCATGTATGAAGCACAACTCACAGAGAAAAGTCGCTTTAATCCAAACAAATTTGTGTTGGTGAGCGACTAAATCTCTGCAATTTACTGCGAAATATGCGTACGAAATGGATTCCTATTGAAATGGCTGGTTTTCGCCTACGAAAATTCGCCAAAAAGCCATAAATGTGAATTCATATCGACTCACTGTAAATGTTATGATTATTGAAACATCACAAATAAAAATACAGCCAGTTTGCCAACAGTGATCATGGGTCAACATAAAAAAAATTATAGAAATATTAGGTATTGTTTTTGATCATATTTAGATCTCAAATGAAGCCTATGCTTAAGGTGCAGTCACATTTACTGTCAATTGGCAAATTTTCATAGGCGAAATCCAGTGCCTTCAATAGGAGTCCATGCAAATGTGAATATCTTGAGGGGAAAGATTTCTACACGCAGATTTTGCATTGGGTTCAAGCTGGTCACTAATTCGCTCCGCCGTGTTTGCATCTGTGTGAATATCGGCATTTGCAGATTTAATGATCATTGACCATCTTTATTTATGACTTTGCTGACATTTTTAACAAACAGTTTCTAGGTGGCTGTTATACTGCAAAAGTAAAAACAAAAATGATCAAATTTCAAATACATAGGATATTATTAATCAACTGTACAACAATTTTTGCCAAAAGAACTAGCAATAGTGTTTTGGTGTAACCTAGTTATCATTTTAAACATTTCAAAGGGACAACACATTTTACTCTTCTAATAATAATAATAATAATAATAATAATATGCCTAATGATACTACAGACCCCATGACAAATCTTTTCAAGCATCTAGAGGAAAAGCAAAGCACCATATAGAAACGTTTTATGAGCTTTATTTTTATTTAATTAACAGAAAAAAATAATTAAGACTCATTTTTATAGCCATCGCCGTCAAAACTAGCATTTCAACTAGCAACATGATAAGATTTAGAACCATTAAGCATTCAATTAACCGTCCGTCTTTCTGTATAAATGCAGGAGAAAGGTCAGGAATGGATCTGGGACAGCCAATTTACGATATAAAAGTCTCTGGTTTCACTGAATAGTGTTGAAATGATATGTCTGTCACTCTAATTTAAAAATACTGCAGGAGACTTTGTTCTGAACAGCAGTTACTGAAGGTCCAATGCTCAGTTTGCCTCGTTCTTTGATGCCTCGTCGAAGTTCTCTACAAGATCTGTGAAAAAAGAATAAAATGACTTAAATCGACTTTGTACAATTTACAGCTTGTTCAAAAGAAAAACTTCATACCTGGGACATCATCATCTTCTTCATCGATATCTTCTGCTTTCGGAGCTTTGTTGTCCAGAACTTAAAAAGCAATGAAACAGCGATGTCAGCATCTACACTAAACTGTAAATTCACCCCTATTTCAAAGCCACATCTATACCCACCCTGTCTGGGAAACTGCTCGGCGAGTTTGCGCAGACTTGTGAGACTGTCAGCGCCGAGTTGACTGAGGATTCCCGGGAGCATTTCCGTAAGCTGTTTGGTCTCTGCGTGGCCTGTGATGGCGAACGTATTGGCAGACAGAGACGCCTGCACTTTGGGGTTATTGAAGTGAATGACTGTGCCATCATCTTTAATCATATTCACCTGCAAAACAAGATCAAATTCTCAATTCTCTCTGAACAGGACAGAATGAGATGAGCGGAGAAAGACTAGAGAGCTACTGATCTACCTCTTCAATGCCAGCTATGTTATTGACTGCAAGCTTCTTTAACGAACTTTGAAGTTTCTTGTCATCAGCTGTTGCTGTTCTGTGCACCACCTTCTTCTTCCTGCGTGCTGTTCCCTATAGAAAGCGAATCGAAACTGAGTAAAGACAGAAAAACAACAACAGCAAAACCATAAGATATATCCAAAATCATTATTGTTCAGGGTCCATTATTGTTCACAATACTTCTTACCTTGCCCCCTATCCGGACCTGGGCTTGAAGTTTAGCCAATTTCTCCTGGTTCATACTGACTTCTAAAAACAAACAAATCCTTCATTATTCAAATGCTTTAAAAATACACCTAAAAAAAACACTATACACTATCCTCTGGTTTCACAGACAAGGCTTAAAACTAGTCCCAGATTAATATGCATGTTTGAGCTATCTCTATTGAAAATATCTTGTTCTGACATATCTTAAAATATGTCAGTGCCTTTGTTCTGTCTCAAGATGCACACCTATAACGTTTTCTTTTAAGGCATTTTTATAAAAGCTGCTTAAACACTTTAATTTGACTAAGGCCTTGTCCTGGCTTAAAGGGGTCATATGATGTGATTTAAATTTTTCCTTTCACTTTGGAGTGTTACAAGCTCTTGGTGCATAAAGAAGATCTGTAAAGTTGCAAAGACTAAAGTCTCAAATCCAAAGAGATATTCTTTATAAAAGTTAAGAGTCATCTGGAGATTTTTCCATCTACAGATTTTTCCCTGACCTTCTTTTCTCTGTAAATTAAGGGTGCACACTATGGCTGAAAAACACAATCACTACTTAGCAGTCAGATGTCCGTATGCACAAAGGCACAGATCCCTAAACAAGACCATATCTGCAGATGAAACTTTGTTTGTAGAAGCATTTTTTAAATTTGAACGAGCACCTCATGACTACACCGCGTTATGTACGAGAAGCTGCAAAAGAATGAATACACAAAATAATGTTCTTTTTAGCAGCATCATATGACCCCTTTAGGTTAAGCCCCGTCTGTGAAACCGGGCCTAAATCTTGTTCACACCAAGAATGATAAATATAAAGATAATTATAACGATAAAGATAATAGCGTCCACACCAAAGCATGATAACATTCTGTTTATTGTAGCATTTGCTGCAGTTTTGTGGTCTGCCACTTTAAATGCCTGAGCTCTTTAAACCAGGAGGGATTCTGATTGGCTGTCAATGTTTTGATCTTTTGGAACTTTCCCAGATCCCCAAGGAATACACTACCAGATGACAAAATAAATCTATATAACTGAAAAACATGATGTGTTGCTGGTTTACTAAAAAGACTGCATGTACAGTTTGGATCCCCCCCCCTCCTGCAGGCTAAATGAAAGCTGTATTATACGACTAACTTTTCTTCTATAAAAAATAATAAATTTCTTTAGTTTAAATGTTTTTTTTTACCCATTTGGACATGTGCTTTCTTGACTAGAGCACCAAGTGAGCTAGAATTGCCACACACTCCCCCTCCAGACAAACAGATAAAATATTTGACTAATTAAACATTTAGATAGATTTCTTCTAGAACTTCTAGCCAATTAATTATTCTATAATATAAAGCCCCTAACTTCTTTGCATTCGCTCACAGAAGTACTAGCTCTTCCCCAAGAAACTTTGCGTTCACTTGCAAAGAATGTATATATACATGTATATATGTATACATACATGTATGTATGTATGTATATATATATATATATATACATACATACATACATACATACATACACACACACTTACATTACTAAGCCTGCAATTATATTTTGGTATGAATGACCTGGAAGGTTTTTCCATGATATGTCTAAAAGATATTTTCAAAAACAATATGGTTATTACTTTAATACAGAATGGCACACAGACATACGAAACTGTAACTAACTACACCAGCACACACTGTGCAGTGAAACTGTGCTCTTCTGTGGAGTGACAGTCTGTACAGAGAGAATGACCGCCGATGCGCCTGTCAGCAGGCTACAAACCCTCAGATGACACGGAAAACATATGGTGAAAGTATCACGTAAAAACTGCTTAGTCGTCGGTTTGAGGAAATGTCCAGGCTATACTGTCTTTATTGCTGTCTCTGTCCCTCGCACATGTCGCAGTGATGGAGAATAAAGACAAATCCTGACGGTGCATAATCTGAGTGAGTGCATCACTGCAGCATAACACACACATCACAACAAACACACCGCGCTCAGCCGCGTAATCAACAACGTAATCATCGTGGATGTAATGTATTTAAAATAAACACATAACGGTGTTCATTACTGACCTGATAAACACAGCTGCTCAGAGAATCATGCGCACTTGAATGAACAGGGCGGAAGTGGTCAGACTAAAAACGTCACGTTGTTTTTGTTGTTTTAAGGGCGAACAACAGTGATGCTGCCCTCTAGCGGCTCGGCTTTAATAATAAAAATGTAAAGCTAAAGACCTGAACCTGTTGATTGCATGGTATGACCGTATGAATGCATATTTTATATAGGCTGGGTGAGAACGGGGTGATTTGAGCCTGCGGGGAAGTCGAGCCTCCCCTCGCTTCTAGGCAACCTTAAACAAAATTGGTGATATGACCACAAATATATTAAAGGGGTCATATGATGCGATTTCATTTTTTCCTTTCTCTTTAGAGTGTTACAAGCTCTTGGTGCATAAAGAAGATCTGTAAAGTTGCAAAGACTAAAGTCTCAAATCCAAAGAGATATTCTTTATAAAAGTTAAGAGTTAGCCACACCCCCCTAAAACGGCTCGTTCGAACACGCCCCCACATATCTACCACACTATGTGGGAAGATTTGCATAACACCGCCCAAATGTTCACGCAAAGAAAGAAGACGTAACTTTTATTCTCGCTGTAGTTTTGTTATTTCCGCCGCCATGTCATAATGACGCTGTGTGCTTCGTTGTGAAAGCGAAGCTACTTTGGTCTTCCAAAAGAGGACGATATCCGCTTCGTCATCCCTAGAGCTGATCCGTGCTGGTCGCTGAGGAAATACATCAACTTAGTGCTGTGGATCACCGGATATGCTTTCACCGTTTTCACCGCTCCTTCGCCAGGACCGCCGTTCTCGACCCCGCCGCCTCAGCTCACTCTTGCCCGGCTTCAGCTCAGGCTAAGCCGGGGCTTTCGCTCACGCTAGGCCGCTGTGTTTTTCGTTGTGAAAGCAAAACTACTTTGTTTGGCCTTCCAAAAATGGACACGACTAGAAATCAGTGGTTAAGTTGTATTTACAACACTGTTCCAGAACACTTCAACCCAAATATTCAGATGTGTGCAGCACATTTTATGGAGGACCGTTTACTGATCCTGGGAGAGTTACGTTAGACTAAAATGCCGGCAGTTCTGACTCACGTAAGTACGTTTTCATTTAAAGAATTTGCCACTGATGATTCAAACGCGAGTTTTGAGCAGTGTAGAGTAGCGCTTGTGGTTTGTCATTTCTCCGATCACAAATGCAGACATGGTTTTATGTTTACGCGGCACGATGCAACGCAACGCAACGCGTAAAAAGACAGTATAAGTCATTATAATCAGTAATTATGTCCCCACTGGATGCAACAAATGCCTCGTTTATAATGGCTTTTCATGTTTTTTAATCATCGCTCCGGCCTGACAGGGCATCATCACAATATGGTAGGGGCGTAACATTTCCGGCATTTCAGACCAATGAGCTTTGTTAAAATCGACGTGTTTCAGAAAGGCGGGGCATAGAGGAGAAACAATAATGTACAGTATGTGGAAAATAATGTGGTTTTTTAACCTTAAAC